CGTATCATCGGAATCCTGTTTTCTGATTGGTTGCAGAGTGTAGTAGACTTATAAGATAAACGGAGCGTTCATACGAGAAGAACTGAAGATAACACTGAAGGATAGCTCTACTCCGAATAGTTGTTTCCCTCTTTCAAAGTGAGCGGTGGGGGACCAATTAGCTTGAGCGTAAAGCCGTAACACACTACAGGCTCCCGACTCTGACTCCCGACTCCCGACTCAAAGTCGATCGAATAGAATGATTTCTATTCTCGAGTCGGCAGTCAGAGTCGGCTGCTGCCTTGCTGTGATTGATAGAATGATAGTCGGGAGTCCGAATCAGTAGTTGAGTCAGAGTCGGGAGTCTGTAGTGTGATTACGGCTTAAGGTCACAACTCTCGAACGTCTATCTTTGTTGCTCTCGGCCACTCCCAGCCTGCCGCGGCGACCAATCAATTCACTACTAGAAAAGAAGAGAAATACTCCGCGACTGTTTCGTTCTCTTTCTATAACGTCTTCAGGGTATCGATCATGTAACTTTTTCCCTAGGGCGGAAACGTGAAAAGTGAAAATTCATTGTATGTATCTGTGTATATGTTCATACATACATTCATAAAAGTTTTCACTTTTCACATTTCCGCTCTAGAGATAAAGTTATATGATTGATACCCAGCTGAGAGGGTCCCGTTTGTCGGATGGCACTCAGTTGGACACGGCTCAATTGGACATGAGCCACTCACAGCGCTTAAGACTACAAAGCTCCTAGGCACCTGATCGCTGTGATTGGTGGTGTCCAATAAAGCCGTGATCAATCGGGATCACCCCCCGTTTGCCTACAATCCCGATTGCACACACCACTCATATTAGCTGGTGCCTAGAAATTTTTCACTGCTTTACCAATGAGAATATTTTATTTTTAAATTAGCCAATTAGCGACGCATGTGTGCAACATGCAATGTATGCAATCGGAGCCTTCCCCTTCAGCTTCTCTCGTATGAATGCTCCGTCTATTACTACGTTTAGGGTGCCGTCACATGCGGCATAACTTGAGCCGACCAATCATATCATTTCACTTGAACATCAGTTTCTGTTTAGTCACTTTATGCTTTTTATGCTATTTTGTTGTTACGCCGAAACATGATAGAACCACTATGCGTCGAATCTAATTTCTGGCTCATTTTAGCTTATTCTGTCTGAAAAAATGCATAAGGGTTTCGATTTTGCAACAGTACAATTATAAAAGTCGTGCGCCCCTTTGCATCGCGTGAAAAGTCGAAACCCATGTGGAACAGTACAATTATAGACCTCATTTTGCCTCTGTGACAGATTTTCTAACCTCAATAGTCATCAACTTTAAAGCTGGAAACACAATAGACACAGGCAATAGGAACAGGCAACAGGGAATAACGAGTCGTCCAATCAGAGCTCTGGGATATAATATCGAACTTATACCCCAAAGCTCTGATTGGACGGCTCGTTATTCCCTGTTGCCTGTGCCTATTGCCTGTGTCTATTGTGTTTCCAGCTTAAGGCTTAATATCTCAGATCACAAGGCAGAACGTTTTTTTTGCCAGATTCTTTTGTTTCATACAAAAACGAGTCGAATAAGCCTAATGGTTACTGCACACTGGACGCGATGAGCGATGAGCGACGAGCGATATCCAATGAGAGCTTTGCTTTGCATCGTCATGTGAGAAAAAGCAGAGTTTTTATTGGATATCGCTCGTCGCTCATCGCTCATCGCGTCCAGTGTGCAGTAGCCATAAGAGTGGTTTCACAAACTTTTCCGATTTTAATAATTTTTTTGATCATCCGCTCATATATACGCGATGAAAAGGTACCGGTTCCCCATGAGGCGTACTTTTCGAGATGCGTAGGTTACGAAAACCAATCGTAAATTCATTTAGCATTTCTGTGAGAGTGTACAACAGAAATTATAATGAGTAATTGGTTGCATTAGTTCCGCATTTCTCTAATCTTCCGCGAAATACGCTCAATGTGAATGCGGGCTTTCAGAATGGCGTATTCTAGTAAATAAAAAATAACGTATTCTAGTAAATTACTAGAATACGCAGGTTACACTACGCAGGTTACGCCGCATGTGACGGCACCCTAAATCTCCACTAAACTATAAAACATCACGTAGGCTACAGCATCGACGAGATACTATTAAAGACCGACATCCTTACGGGAGTTCGCGTCCTTGTGAATATTGAAGTGATTAAGAATTAAAAACTGGTAATATTGTACTAATTTTATGATTTATTAGTTTAGTAAACGTATTTATGCATTTATAACTCAATAATACTCGATTTATCTTTAAAATTGAGATTTCAGTGTTATCATCAAAGTTTGATTATTAATAAAGATGATAATTGCAGAGAAAAAATTGCGATTTTTTTTGCAATATATAAGATATTACAGCTTTACAAGTATGTATATTTATTTATAGGACATTTATGTAATAAAAAATCATGAATTTAATAATGCTTGAGCCAAATATTTATGTTAATAATAGCAAATTTATATCAATTGTCGGTAATGTCAGCGTTCTTGAATTACCTCCGGGCTCTTGGGGCTCTTTTTATACCGCCGAAAATTTGCCCAGGATTGACGGTCTTTAATAATATCTCGTCGGTGACAATATATAAGATATAATGTTAATTAAATCGTAAATTTTTATTAATTGTCGGTAACGTCATCGTTCTTCAATTATTCTCGGGCCTCCATGGCCTCACATTGATAGTCACGGAAATTTGCTCAGGGCTAACGGTCTTTAAGAGGCTCCGCACAATAAAAAGAACAGGGAACAGAGAATAAGAATTTCAATCTATCGGAAATCATGTATTGTGGAATACGCAGTGTGTATTTCAGTATTGTAGAATACACACTGCGTATTCCACAATACATGATTTCCGATAGATTGAAATTCTTATTCCACAATACTGAAATACACACTACGTATTCCACAATACATGATTTTCGATAGATTGAAATTCTTAGGGCCTAAGCACAATAGAGGAACAGGAATTAGATATTAAGATTTCAACCTATCAAAAGCTGATTACATCGGAATACACGGTTTCTGATAGGTTGAAATATTAATATCTAATTCTTGTTCCTCTATTGTGCGCAGGCCCTTATTCTCTGTTCCCTGTTCTTTTTATTGTGCGGAGCCCCTAATAGTTTCTCGTTGCGCGGTGTTCGAGCTCACAAGCGTGATTACGGGTATGATCAACGCGATGAAACAAATGCTGTGAAGCAATTTTTGATTGGTCAATGTGTAAAATTCTTTTTTCTAATTGGTCAACCAAACGCTTCAAAGCATTTGTAGTGAGACTTTGACCGGGGTGGCACCCAGTTGGACACGGCTCAATTGGACACGAGCCACTTACAGTGCTTGAGACTACAAAGCTCCTAGGCACCTAGGGATCGATTCTGTATCTTGAAATGAGGTGAAAATTACAAAAGTGAGCGAATTTACTAGAAAACTGATAATTTCATTGGTCAACGCCTAGTAAATTTGCTCACTTTTGTAATTTTCACCTTGTTTGAAGATGCAGAATCGACCCCTTGGGGCTCTATTCTTGAAAAGAAACGTATAAGAAAGTCTAGGGAAATACTATAGTAAACGTAACGTATACTGTAACATTTCCCTAGATTTTCGTATACGTTTCTTTTCAAGAATAGAGCCCCTGGGTACCTATCATAAAATATGTCGAAATGGATTCCGATCGGAATTATTCCATTTTTCCTAGAAAACACAATAAAAATCTAGGGAATAATTGAATATTTCCGATCGAAATCGATTCCGACTTGTTCTATGATAGGTACGCTGGTCGCTGTGATTGGTGGTGTCCAATCGAGCCGTGATCAATCGGGATCACTCCCTTTGACTGTAGCCACCGACGAGATATTATTAAAGACCGTCAACCCTGGGCAAATTTTCGGCGGTATAAAAAGAGCCCCAAGGGCCCGGAGGTAATTCAAGAACGCTGACATTACCGACAATTGATATAAATTTGCTATTATTAACATAAATATTTGGCTCATGCATTATTAAATTCATGATTTTTTATTACATAAATGTCCCATGAATAAATATACATACTTGTAAAGCTGTGATATCCTATATATTGCAAAAAAATCGCAATTTTTTCTCTGCAATTATCATCTTTATTGATAATCAAACTTTGATGATAACACTGAAATCTCAATTTTAAAGAAAAATCGAGTATTAATGAGTTATAAATGCATAAATACATCTACTAAACTAATAAATCATAAAATTAGTACAATATTATCAGTTTTTAACTCTTTAATCACTTCAATATTCACAAGGACGCGAACTCCCGTAAGGATGCCGTCGGTGATATTGTCGAAAAATTACAATTTTTTCTCTGCAGTTATCATCTCTTTTGATAATCAAACTCGGATGATAACATTAACATCACAGTTTTTAATAAAAATCGAGTGTTATTACGTTTTAAACATATATATATATGTCTAAGAAACTAATAAATCATGAAATTAGTACTATATTATTAATTTCTTACTCTTAATCATTAAAAAATTTTAACAGCATGCGACTTCTATAAGCGCCAACCGTCTCTTTAATAGTCTCGTAATCTCGTCGGTGGCTCCAAGCCAAGAATACGACTGACGTCGGTGGGCGTCAGGATGTATCGCATGAATGTAAGTATATTCCCTTTGCCTTGTATATAAGAACATTATTCTTGCTTTATGTTAATTATTGAGATGAACAGAACAAAACAGACTCTCGGAGCGTACGCTTTGTAGCAGAATAGCCAGCAAAGGGGAAACATAGATGAACTTCGTCAGAATTGTCAGAATGGAAGACAAGCCGGCTCCGTGAATCAAATGCCGATGACGATCTCGGAACAATTCAGGCAGTCGTGGCTGACAGCGATAATTGGGTCCATCATGTTTGCCACTGGAATGTGTCTACTATTTTGGAATGAGGTTTGCGAGTGGTACTTTCTGTGATATGACCAACTCGTTTAAGAAGGAAAAGAAAGATATATAAAAAATTCAATATTGTCATCATGATTAAATTGTAATAAACATTTTTTTATAGCATTTCGCATCTTTTCAGGGAAGAGCCGTAAAAGTAGCACATTCCTTGGATGAGGCTTTACACAATGTTATCGTGGTTCCTAATTCAATGATGCTATCATCTGAATATGAGGGTCGCTTGATACATCTATCGGGTCCCTTAATAGTCTCTGAACCATTAACAGAACCAGATTACGGAATTATTATATCAAGCGTGAAGCTGAAGAGGAGAGTTCAAATGTACCAATGGGTTGAAATCGAGGAAGAACCAAGGTAGTTATAAAAGACATTTATCCTTGATCATTATGATTGTCAAAAACAAAAATTTTCTTTAATTGAAAATTGCTATTCAATCCATGCTAAATAACAAAAACTCTATTGCACTGCAGTATATATATATCAAATATATTAAATCTTTGTTTTTAGTTTTGGCGAAATAACAGAGGGCGAGAAACACTATTATTACACAACAGAATGGAAAGACAAACTCGTGGATTCTGATCACTTTTACATTCGTACAGGGCATCACAATCCCAAGGAAATACCAATCAAAAGCCAGGTGCAGATCGCAGACGAAGTGAAGATTGGCGCTTATACGTTTGGCATGGAATTGAAGAAAAAATTCAGCGATTTTGTAGAGATCACCAGTGATGAGAGACCAGAGCGAAAGAACATTAAAATGCACTCTGGACTGTATTACCACAGTACAGATTTGTGGAATCCTCAAGTATGTCACTGCAAGAAGTTTTTTCTCTTAAAGGGGGAATATTTAAGAATATTTTGAATTTAGAACTCCATTTGGAATTAAGATTAATATGATTACAAAGTTCAAGACAAAATTTCCAAAAATTTTTTTTAGAAAAGAGATTGTTCCATTCTGTCAAATTCGTAGAAAACTGTTGGAATTTTTCCGTGGTCAGACATTCACCATTTAATTTGTATTGTACTTAAAAACTTTTATTTTTATTTCTTTCTTATTTATCTCTAATAGAGCTATTTCTAATATGGCTTTTTTTTTTTTTATGATCTAATATGGCTTGCTTTATTTATAGGTGGGAGACATTAGAATACAATTTTCCTACTCAGGAAAAAACGGCAATGTTTACTCGGTAGTTGGCTTGTTGGAAAAAGATACCATCAAACCATATTACACATCTCATGGTGAAGAAATTTTGCTTCAACGAAAGCATAAAATGTCGGTGGACCAGATGTTCCATTTGGAACATGTGCATAATTATTGGCGAACTTGGACCGTCAGGTAATTTCTAGATAAAAACAAATATTTTAAATAAAAATGAATATAAATACTTGTCGTTGATAAATTCAAAGAGCTGAATTAAATATAATTTTTAATTACACTTGTTATATATTATTATCAAAAAGAATATTTTATGATATATATTTCATATATACAGGGTGGACCATCTGAAGTGATCCAGTCAAATATCTCGAAAACTAGTAGGGATAGAGAAAAATGTTTCGTATGAAAAGTTTAGGGTTACACGGGAGAAGTATGGTACTGATCTTGAAAAATCCTTGGAAGGTCATTTTGAAGGTCATTCAGGGGTCACGATGGTTTTTTTAAATGGAACCCCTAGTTTTTCACCATGGGATGAGAAAG